TTGTGCTGTGTAATATTCCTGTGTCTTGAAGTATCTGGGATTCCATCCACTAGATGCCAGGTGCATTCCCCTCCTAAGTGAAACAAATGACATGATTACTATACATTGCCAAAATCCCCTTAGGAAGGTAAAAATCATCCCAATGGAGAAACACTGATCTAGGGTAGCCATTTCTCTGGGACCAGAGAAATGCTTTCCACATGTGCCTCAACTGAATATACATGGTTTTAGTTGGGTGTCTCTACTTGTGTTGGTTAAAGTTCCAAAGCATCTATGATTTGGATGTGATTTCAGTGTATTCCTAAGGATTTATATGTTAAAATTTAATCATCCTCATGAGGTTTTAGGAGTGTAGCACTTCATCTGATTACAGTGTGTAGAGGCAGGCCTTTAGCAAGTGATTTATACTAGATAAAGGAATAAGTGCATGCATGATTCATGAGTATTCATGACTGAATACTGGTGGCTTTATAAGGAGAGGGCAGGGCACAGACATGTGCATTGTCTGTCTCTTGGCATGTGATGAACTGTATTACATTGGGATTCTACTAGCAGAAATGCAATCATTACATGTGGGCCTCCACTTTGTCCAAGAACCATGGGACAAAATAAACCTCTTTTCTTTGTTGAATTAGCCTAACTCAAATATTCCAATTAACTAACAGAACACAGACTAATATAATAGTGTTCTAGCTACATGTGGCTTCTGGAATCTCAATTCAGCCCAAATCCCTCATGGACTTTGGCCCACCTTATTGAGCATTATTTGTGTATTTTCACCTCAGTCTTCAGTCAGATACCCTAGAAGACATTTGCAGATTTGTGAAATTACCTCTCTATCTGGCCATCTCATTCATGTTTCCTCACTCACAGATTTTACCAGTGGACTCTGAATACTTTGAACTATTACTTTTGTTTCTTCAATTCACCATCAATTCAGCTCTCTGTTTGGGCTCCAGTGTCTAGGGTTATGATTTGGATAATGATCCCTATCAGAAAAAGACAGGTAAAAAACAACTTATTGTGTGTGGAGCCCCTGATGCAGTGATCACAGTCCTGGGCTATGTGTTGTTCTGCACTTGAAAATGATCCAGCCTTGCTTGTCCAAATAAAATGTTGCAGGGAGAAATTAGCACATGATAGCCATTACCCTTTTGTAATTGTTACTGTGTTCGGAATTTGAATATTTCTAGTATTCTAATGTACTATTTTTTATTAATTTTGTTGACAAACAAATAGCAATGAGACATGAAACAGTTCAAAACTGATTAATAGGACAGTTTCAATAATTAATATATTGCATATTGCTGTATCCATAGTGGTTATTCACAGTACAAAATGCAGACATGATATCCTGTCCAAACACTATTAGTACAAATCTTTCTTCTCATTGAATTAAGAGAAAGTAGCTGTATATCTATCCTAAATGTATATCCAGGTACAAAATGGTCCTTCATTTGTATCCCTTCTTTAGTTTTGTCAGAGATAGGTATTTCATTGCTATTTAAATATTGAAAGTGCATGAATTCAGCTAAATAATCCAATATAGTCCAGTAGTCCATAATAGTATTGGATAATCTGTAGGACTGGCAATGTCAGAAGTTGTAGCCTTGAGCCTTTTATAGCTCAACATATTAATATGGCTTTATTTTGTATACCTCATTTTTATACTTTTTGCTGGATGGTTAAGACCAAGATAAAGAAAGACCTATCTAACAAGAAATTTAAGTTCTATATCTGAGAAGGTCGTCAAATCTCCTCAGGATTTATCCTGAAACCCTGTACCACAGTTTGTAGACATTTGTCAGTGTCAGCCATGTGGATGAGTCATAGCCATTGCCTGACCAATTTGTTCTCTGTGAAAGCCTGAGAGCATATTTTCTCTTCATGTGACTTCTTAGGCACACTCTACACCATCGATCACTTTCTTCTGGGGCCCCATAATCTCCTTGATCAGAAAATTTGGGACACAGCTGAGTCACAGGATATTACAGTACAGGTTCTCCTATGTCCTGAGTCCTCACTGACCTTGAAAGGCTAGGCCCAAAATGCTGACCGTCATTTCAACCCTACTTTTTCTCTAAATTTGGTCTGCAAACTTAGTTGTTAACCGACCAGAAGAGAAGCTTAATGGTATTATTACCCTACAACATAGGCAGTTGAGCTTAACCTCAGTATCTGTCTGAATATCAAACATCTTAGACATAAAATGGAACAGGTATTTTCCATCAAATATTGATATGTTAAATGTTAAATACCTACAGAATATGAAGAAAAAATAAAAATAGGAATAAACAATTACATATTTCTACACAGAAATTTAGAAGTCTAACCATATACAGCATTGTAGCAGGACATTAGAATCTTTCTTTTGTGTATCATCACCCCAACATTGACTGGATTTGTTTTTTTTCCATAATTTTATTGAGAAACAAATAGCCATGAGACAGTTTCAAATCACATTAGTAGGATAGTTTCAATAATTAATACATTGCATATTGTTTTCTTAGTGGTTATTCATTGTACAAGATGCAGACATGATATCCTGTTTACAAACACTTTTAGAACAAATCTTTCTATTCATTGAATTAGGAAAATGTAGCTGTATATCTATCCTAACTATTTTGAATATACAGATACAAAATAGTCATTCATTTGTATCCTCTTTTTGTGTTTAGTTTTGTCATTTAAATATCATAGGTGTGTGAATTCAGCAAGATATTCCAAAATAGTCTGGTAGTCCATAATAGTAGTGGGTTATCCATAGGACTGGCAATGTCAGAAGTTGTTGACTTGAGCCTTTCACAGCTCAGCATATTCATATGACTTTACTTTTTATATCTCATTTTTATACTTTTCTGCTGGGTGATTAAGACCAAGATAAAACAAGACCTATATAACAAGAATTGTAGCTTTTGTATCTGATATGGTCAGTCAAATCCCCTCAGGATTTATCCTGAAACCCTGCACCACAGTTTGTAGATCCTTTGTCAGTGTCAGCCATGTGGATGAGTCATGACCATTGCTTGACCAACTTGCTCTCTGTGAAAGCCTGAGAGAATCTTTTCTCTCCATATAACTCTCCTTAGGCACACACTACATTATCGATCACTTTCCGTTGTGGCCCCCATAATCTCCTTGATGAGAAAATTTCATTGTCTGAATTTCTTTGTCACTCTTACTGAGTTTATGGTAGTGTTCTTTGGTAGACAAAGAAAATATTAGGTCCATATAGTGACATGATTATTTTCACCAAAATGGATGCTCTTAGTCTTTTGATTTTATTCAATACTTCTTTTACATTTTTTATGTTTAATTTTAATAATCACTTTACCCATTTTTTCTTGTCATCAGAACAAAACTACCTATTAAGAAAGTTACTTTCTTTGACTATAGTGATTTATTGCCTTAGCAACAATTTACCCATAATTCTAAATAATTAAGTTAAATAATAAAACAACAAAATCTTTGAAAGAACTATTTCTTTATTAATATTATTTCTTCTGTATTATTTCTTTTCACTTACAGCTTCTTTTCTTTTTCTGGTTAATTTTTTTATTTTAAAGAATAAAAACAAAAATAAATGTAAAACAAATAGCAAGAACAAAGAAATGGAGTAGCATATAACACATGTTATACAAAATTTCAAAACAAGAAGGAAATTTAACGATGGTTGCTTTATTACATATTTTTATTCTCAAATATGTTGCTCAGATTAACAGATATAGAATGTCAAGATTCATCAAATAATTAAACATTAATGCTTGCTGTCAATAAACCTTAATTGTTTCTTGTCCCTTCAATTTTTTAGTTTATTTTAAAGCGAGTATAATAATACTTGATAAGACATTAGAAATGGTACACATTTAGAAGAACAAGATAAGAGGTATTCAATCATGTTCTTTGTGATTCATTGAATTAGGAAATCTTTCTATTCATTGAATTAGGAAAATGTAGTTGTATATCTATCCTAACCTGTTGCTGTTTTCAGTGCAGTCGCCCAGACCACAGATATCAGCATATAGAGTTAGTTAAAGTGAAAATTTTAAAACACTAACTGCTGTTTTCAAAAAAACTGATGTAAATTAATACTACAGTCATCTCAGCTATCTGTACATAAACTTGCATGATTTTCCCCTTTCTTTTTTTTCCTATCTTCCCTACCCTCCCTCATCTTCATTGTTTATTCCTTATATTCAGTTTCTTTCCATTTTACTATATGTATTATACATTTCAGATTTTATCCATTCCCTCAGGTTCCTACACTAGGAGACAAAACAATACTTACAAATGTAGATCTGATCCATTTCAGCCAGGAGTATAGCCTCTCGCATTCATTCACCTACACAGGACTCATGTCTTTCTTTACAGCCAAACAGCACTCCATTATATAAAAATATCACATCTTTTTTATCCATCCTTTAAGTGATGGACATTTTGATTATTTCCAAGATTTTGCTATGTTAAACTGTGCTTCTATAACCATGGGGGTGCATATATCACTTTGGTGTGATGCCCCCAGTTCTTCTGGAAAAATACCCAGAAGGTGAATGGCTGGGCTGTATTAGACCTCCAATCCCAGTCCTTTGGGCAGTCTCCAGACTGCGCTCCATAGTGGTTGCACCAGTTTACACCCCCACCAACAATGGAGAAGGTTTCCTCCTTCCTCATAGTCTCTCCAGCACCTGCTATAAGCTGACTTCTCTATGACAGTCGTTCTTTCTGGGTGAGATGTTATCTCAATATTGTTTTAATTTTTATTTCTAGAATGACAAGTCTTGGGGAACATTTTTTAATGTATTTATTTGCCATTTGCATTTCCTCCTCCAGTCTCCAGATGTCTGTTCTTCAATTGGGTCTTTGAACCCTGGGGGCCCAATCTTTTCCAGTTCTTTATATGTTCTAGATAGAATTCCCCTGTCTGAGTGACTATTGGTGAAGATTCCTCCCAATTAGTGGGCCATCTCTCCACCCTGAAGGTGACTTCCCTTGATGTGCAGAAACTTCTTAATAAGATGAGATCCCAGTTGTTGACTCCTGAAAGTACTTTCTGCACCATCTGGTTTTTGTTCATGTACTCGCCGCCTATCCCCATGTCCCCAAGGCCTCCACCCACTCTCTCCTCCAGGAGATCTAGTGCCTCTGCTTTAATGTTTATATCTTCAATCCATTTTGGCTTTAGCTTAGTGCATGGTGACAGACCCACATCCAATTTTAGCTTTTGGCCTGTGGAGGGCCAGTTGTTCCAGCACCACCTGTCAAAGAGGCCATCCTTCTAGTGAACATCCTTGGTCCTTCTGTCAAAGACAAGGTGGTTGAGTGTGTCTGTAGCTGAATACACATCCTCCAATTTGTTCCAGTGATCCACAGGTCTGTTTTTTTGTTTCTTTGTTTGTTTGTTCTCTTGTCAGCACTATGCTGATCCTATCACAGTAGCTTTGTAGTATAATCTCATCAGGAATTGTAATGCCTCCTGCCTTGTCCTTGATGGCCAGGATTGCCACTACCACTTCAGGCCCCCAACCCAGTTACAAATAAATTCTAGAAATGTTTTCTCCAGGTCTTTGAAGTACAATGATGGTATTTTGGTATGGATTGTATTAAATCTACACAACAATTTTGGCAGTATGGCCATTTTCACAATGCTGACTCCTCTCATCCAGGAGCAAGGAATATCTTCCCACCTTATGAAATCCTCTTTGATTCCTTTTTTCAGAGTATTATAATTGTAACTTCTTCTGAGACTAACTTTTCTAATTTCATCATAAAACAAATTCTCAGCCTCTTTTATGTCTAGAGTAACAAGAAATAAATAAAACAGTTACCCAGGAAACAAGAATTCCTGATAAACCTCTGTTCTAGACTAGTGGTATATTGCTCGACAAATTACTCAGAATATTGGGTACTTCTGTCCCATTCTTTAATGACTTATATCCTTTCTAGTGTTCTTTTCATGGCTAAATACTTAGACATCTGAAATATTTGTCTTCTACCAAAATAGTTAACTCAGACTCCTAAAGAAATTAAAGTTTCTACAAATGATCTTTTGCTATGGTTGGCAAAGAGAAAAATGTGATAAGAATAAAAGCAATGTGAAAAAAATTAAAGTGTTTTAGCAATATAATTTTGTCATAATTATTATGATTTCAAAGAGTCATATTCATATTTTTCCCTTTTAGTACATTATATGGGGTAGGTCTTGAATACTTTCATACTTTTATGATTTACAGTCTCTGGAAAAGTAGAATGAAAGCCAAAACTACTTCTTGTAACAAAAGGCATGCCTCTTTTCTCTTTTCAAAATACCACCTTTCCTGTGCCTTTCAGTCCCTCACACACATTCAGGTGAATTCAGCGTGCTCGATCTTGCTGCTGGCTTATGCCGCAGCTCCACACCATAGCCCAGGAGGCTGCACTTGTGCACATGTGCGCACAGCAGTCCTGTGCTGAGTGCCACTCTGGATTGGGTGCTGTGGGTGAAGAAACCCCAGTGGTGCCTCAAGTGCACTGAAGGAGATCGAGCCCAGTGAGGATGTTTGTCAAGGCAGCTAGTGATTACAAACTCAGGTGAGCAGTGTGAAGTGTACTGGAGGATCCTAGGCAGGAAACTCAATTTAAGAAATCTGAGCAGGTTTTCATTTATTAGAGTTGAAAATATTTTCAGCTCTGATCTTTTTCTGCACCTTAAGAAATCCCAATCTATTTCCTCTCTGTCTTTGCATAAACTGTGTCTCTCGCTTTTCATGCTGTTTCCCTAACTTCTGCTTTTCATCAACCAAGTATCGAGTGATGCATTACTTTCTTTAAGGTCCTCAATGTTTACTTTATCCAAAATAGTTCCACTGCTATTTACTTTCTCTAATTTTTTCTTTAACTTTTCAGTTAACTCACCTATTTTTGCCATTGTTTATCACCAGCTGATGGGAACTTGTTTTGGTCCTATATATTTCTGAAGCCTACAATATGCATTGGCTCATCATCTCCTTCCACACCCTCCTTAGAAGCTGTGCAATTAGGGGAAAAATTTACTCTCAACATTTCATGTTCATAAATTCAGAAAACATTTATTGAGTCAAGTACTCTTCTAGCCCAGAGTTTCTGATATCAAAAAAAAAATCTTCTTCTTAAAGAAAAACATTGTTTATTTCTACAATAAGCAAACTTGAATTACATGGAATTGTGTTCCAGGAAATGTCAAAAATCAATCATTTAGAATGGAACTATATAGAGAGGTGATGCAAAATATAGTGAATATTTAGGAATGGCCAGATAGCTCAGATAGTTTGATCCTTGGCATGCAATACTGGGCCTGCCCCTGGGGCACACTGAGTTGGAGAATGAGACTGGGCATGGTGCCATGTACATGTAATCCCAGCACTTGGGAGACTGAAAACAGGAGGATCACCATGAGTCTGATCTGCGTAGTGAGACTCTGTAGACCCTGTAGTAAATACAGAAAAAATGGTGAATGTTTAAATTAAAAGAATTATTACAGTAAAGACACATTGCCATTAATATCACCCCAAAAACTTCCTTTTCACTTTAAACACATGTTTGGCAATAATTTTTATCTCTTTCTGAAGCTGTTATGGAATGTCCTTATCTTTATCATGTCCTTATGACGTGATAGAAAGTATAGTCAAGGTTGCTTTGTATCATTCAATGGAGAGGCAGGCTTGCACAATGATTATAGTGTGTCCTCCTGTGCCTTAGTCACTGGATCTGTCACCTTGTGGCTTCTGGCTCTTCCACCAAGTCAAAATGGTCATGAAAAATAAATGTTTTGAATTGATTCAGTATAGTAGAGGGACCATGATGGTGCAACTAAAGATACCCAAGAAAAGGGGCTTGTAGAAGGACTTCAGAAAGTGTCAAGAAAGAAGTTATAAGTGTGTTTGAAGCAAAGGAAGTATTTTGAGAGGGATTAATATAAATGTGTCTTTCACTCTAATACATTTTTAAAAGTTAAGCACACTGTGGATTTTTAAAAAATGTATTTAATACAGGGTATATATACAGGGTCTAACTACGGAGATCGGACTCGTAGTGATCCTCCTGTTTTCAGCCTCCCAAGCTCTGGGATTACAGGCACCCAACCACCATGCCCAGTCTCAATCGCTGTCTCAGCACACCCAGGGTGTGGGGCCGACATGGCAGGCCAGCTTTGAACCTGGGCCACTGTGCTCTGCCTAAACAAGTGCTTTAGTCCACTGCACTATCTGGCCAGCTCGACAAACTGTAGTTTTTAAAAATTACTTTGTGTATATAATTGTGAGTTACAGCATTAGAGAGAGGTTAATCTTGTCTGACAGATTAGATAACTAACTAGTAAGTACTCACTCACTCAACGACTCCCCTCCAGAAATAGCACATAATACCTATTCTTTGACATGTGGCTCAGCCTATGCTGTTTGCTAAGGCAGTGAAGCACTAGCAAACCATAGAGAAGAGGAGAATGTGGAGTACACTGGCTCACTTGGTCTTATCTCTTGTGCTTGCCATCACTACAGAAAGTAGTGCTTGGTCCCTGAGATCCTTCCATGTGCTAGCAGAGACACTAAGGAGCCGATCTAAGCCCAGTGCATGGTATGTTCAGCTCAAAATTTCGCATATCAGGGGAGCCCACTCTTCATCAGATAAAAACCTCTACTATTCACAAATACATCAAGGAGGGTAGATTATAGAAACTTTAAGACACTATTTGTGGGGATTTTTTTAAAGAGTATAAAAATCACCCAGATATAAGATAAAAAATTCCTGTTGAACTGCTGAGTTAAGAAAAATCTAATGTTTATGTAATTCTTGGTTTTGTGCTGTTGAATATGCAAAAGTTATTTAGGAAAACATTGATGTCCCTGAGAGTTGGTAGAGCACAGGAAATGGATTTTTATTGCATATTTATGCAAAGAAAGGAGCAAGTTTTGCCTTCACTAATCATATTCACTTTACAATTTAAAGGCAATTTAACATGCTACGGAAGACCTTTGGGTTAGTGAGTTGGCCTACAGTGTTTATATCCTGTGCTAACTCTTGCATCATTAGAGCAAGACTGGCAGAAAATCAACTCATACTTACTGAGTACTTGCTATGGTAAGCACATTGTAGATGCTAGGAAGTCATTTAAAACTCTGTAAAGATGTGAGATACATACATTATTACCATTTTATAGGTGAGAAATGTGTGCTATAGATCACTTAATACATCTCTCCAGGATCATAGAACTGGATGATGGCATAACCGAGATTCTATCAGGCAATTTGAAATATACAATCTTGGCAAAGCCAGAACCCATGTGCTTAACCACAATGCAGCACTGAGTATTTCTGCCCTATGACTCACGTAGAATTCACAGATGCTAGATAGAGAAACATCTGGCTTCTCAGTATTCTTTTCCTTAGAAAATTCTGAATAGCTCAAAATTGCTTTCAGACACTGAAGTCTTAGGAAATCAAGGTTCACTAGTTGCAGATGTTCTGCGTTTGTTCCACTGTTATGGGTCTCTTGGACATCTCTTCTGTCCATCAGAAGAGGGCAGGTAGCGGAGCATCAGAGTTTAGCACAGAATTGTTGAGGAGCTTGGGCGTAGAATCTGAGAAGCACTAGAGGAATGCTGGAAGAAAGCTGCTGGACAAGTGTCCCGTTACCTCTTGGTAGCTGATCAGGAAATACTACATTAAAAGAAAGAAGAGTGTTACCATGTGACAAAAATTTACTACCACAAATGGGCAGTGGTATATCTGACATTTTCAAGGAAGAAGAAAGAAAAATATCACCCAAAGCCATGATTCTTTTCTGGAAGAGTACTACTGTTTTTAATCTAAAGAACCACACATTAAAGAGAAATCACCTGTGCATAATTGAGGGTTTCTTTTTTTGTTTTGCTCCAGATTTGAAAATGATGATGGTTCATTATATCACACATACAAAGAAAGGATTTGAAGATAACCTCTTTAATTTTCAGAGCACATAAATATTGGAAATTTTAACTTTAACAAATCTACATTTTACTTTGTGACACCTTGAATCAAATCAGACATAAAATGGACAAATCCTATGAGGAAGTTATTGGTATAGAAGTGATGTGGAATAGAGGACACATAATATAACCAATGGAGCTACAGTTATGAAGTTCTTGACCAGTGGGTTACAGATACACATTGGAGAAAAGGCAGCCTCTTGAGCACATAACACTGAGAAAACTTAATATAAACATATAGAATGGAAAGATCACAGTTTCTCATCCTATACAGAAATTAGTTCAAAATGGATCAAACTAAAAGATAGGTCATAGGAGGGCTGGAGAGATGGCTCAGTGGTCTAAAGCACCTACTTAGAACAAGCTTAGCAAAGCATCAGGGACCGCGGTTCAATCCCCCAGCACCACATGCCAGCCAGCCCTGCCCCCTGTGGGCTGAGCTGGCCTCTCTCTCTCTCTCTCTCTCTCTCTCTCTCTCTCTCTCAAATAAATAAAAAAAAAGATAGGTCATAGGAAATAGGGAGATAGCTCTTCTGCAAATGGAAGGGGACCAAGGGTTGGAGGGAATAGGGAAAGTGCATGGGGAGAGCATGGTTAAAGATAGAGATGTGCTATGGACATATGCCAGGTCCGCATGAAGGATGCCATAAGACACTGCAACTGTGTACTCATCTTAAAATTGAGAAAAATGGACCCAAGTTCCAAATACGGGATCTGAGATTTTGAATCTGCTAGAACAAAACCCAGGGGAAAACTTCAAGAAAGAAGCACAGGCTATGTCTTTCTGAATAGGACTCCAATAGTAGAGAAAATCATAGTTACAAATGACAGATGGGATTAGGTGATATTAAAAAGCCTTTCACAGCAATGAAAATAATAAACTACAGAATGGAAGAAGAATTTTGCAGTAATTTTTGTTTGAGGGTTCATATGCAAAATGTATAATGAGCTCAATACTAAAAAAATTCAATCAATTAATGGGCAACTGAACACACACCCTTCTCAAAAGAAGTACAAATAGCTCATAAGTATATGAAAAAAGTCTTCAAAATCTGTAGTCATGGGCCAGGGAGATGACTCAATGGAATTAGTGCTTCCCTGGCAAGCGCAAGGGCCTGAGTTCAATCCCCAGTTCCACAAAAAAAATAAAAAATAAATCTGTAGTAGTAGTGCCTTTGCCTCCCAAGTACTGGGATTGCAGGCCTGCACCACACGGCCTGCTAACAAACCTCTTTCTAGTCTGTGCATGAGTTGTGCTGAGTATAAACTTGGACCTACCTTAGGGGTCTCTCTTTTTCTATAGTCCACTATAAACTGAATATCAGTAAGCAAACATTGTGCTCCAGACTAATTTAAAAGCCTTCTTCTACTCATTTTATTCTTGATAAATTCTCTGACTGGGTTATAGACCATTCCCATGCATCCCTTAGGTTACCACAACTGCCAAATGATAGAATACATGTAAATCATTTAAAATAATGTCTAGCACATAGGTATATAGTTCGACACTTTTTAATTGTGTTGCTGATGTAGTTTATTTTATTTAAATTTTTAAAAATCTATTTATTTCTTTCTTTGTTTATGTATGTATGTATGTATGTATGTATGTATGTATGTAGGTAGGTATATATTTAATACAGGGTCTTGCTATATAGCTTAGACTCATAGTGATCCTCCAGTCTCAGCTTCCCCAGCACTGGAATTACAGGCATGTACTACCATGCTCGGTTTTAGGTGAGTGGCTCAGTGCAGGGCCACCATGACATGCAGTACTGGGGATGGAAACTCAGGTTCTGGCACTTTCCAGGCAGGCACTTAGGCCACCGAGCTGTCCTCGGCTCTAGTTTATCTATTTTATGCCTGCCCTGTTGGAATTTGACAGGGGGAGTTTGTGTCTATTTGTTCAATGGCCCACAACACAATCTAGGGAAAATTCGTATTTTATAGTTGCAAATATTTTGAATGAATTCTATGTTGAGAGAGGTTTATACTCTAGCATGTTATTTTTCATAGAGCATTGAAGCTTAGCTCAGTCATTTAGCTCATCCATTTTTGTTTTGTATTTTAGGGAAGGGTCTACAGGGTGTTAAGGTCTCACTACTAGATCAGACTCATAGTGATTCTCCTGTTTACAGTCTTCCAAGTGCTGGCATTACAGGCCTGGGCCACCATGCACAGTCTCAATCGCTGTCTCAGCTTGCTCTGGAAGTGGGGTCAGCATGGCAGACCTGGGGATTGAACCTCTATCCCCTGCGCCCGCTTGCAGGTTCTTTAATCCGCTGAGCTATTTGGCTGGCCCGCTCATCCAATTTTTCATCCTACTACACTTTTAGGGAATTCAAATAAGTCTCACTGTGTTATATGATGATAAACACACATATTTATCTTTGCTATCAAACTGAATAGACATTGATTTCATTGATCTTAAAATATTGAACTTAAAATATTTGACATATTTGAAATTCTATAAATCTTAGTTATATTTAAAAGCTATTATTGCCCTCTAAATGTATGATAACTAAATATTTTATATTTCCCTCAAATTTCCAAAAGTTGTCTCCTCTAATGAAGTTTAATATGCAAAAAAGGTTCAAATGGAAAAAGGCTAATTGAGGATGTTTTTTTTTTTTTTTTTATTTACCGAGTCGTGTTTTACTGTAAAAAGGTTTTCCATTTAAATAGTATGTTACTTTGAAAAGGCATCTCTATTTTTTTTTGTAGAAACTTGACTGGTTACTAAAATGAAAGTATTTTATCTATAAAGTAAGCAAAAACATTTTTTGTTTTACTGATAAAGGGATTTCTAGGACTTAAATAATTATGGAAATTTATGTAAGGAGAACTCCTTTAGATTTTGTGAATGTGTCAGCAGAGAAATACAATTAAAGTTTAAGTGTGGTAACTCGAAGGACTTTATACTTTGGATAGGAGGAAAGAACTGCACAACTGGAAAGGCTAGTTGTTAAGGTTTTGCTATAAGAGGCTTTGGAAATCACCCTTTAAGAATCTGATTGAGGGGTTGGGGAAATGGCTCAGTGGAATAAGCACTTGTCTGGCAAGTGCAAAGTTTAATCCCTGGTTCCACCAAGAAAACAAAAAATCTGATTTGACTGACATTCATGACCATAGGTTGTGGCAAAATAACCACACGGATTAAAAGAAAAATATTGGCAGAATGCACTTCTCCTGAAGACATCTTTTTCTGTAGATTTTGTAAAATAGTAAACAACCTCAAATGCAAGCAATTTTAAACTCAGGCATGTTATCCCCCATGGCAAAGTGTAATGAAAATCAAATGTTTTAGTGATCTATAAAAGTAAAATGAGAAGATGAGGTGGACAAATATTCTTTATACTTGATTGGCATGGACAGACAATCCAGTCATTGGACTCAGAAATTTTTAAAAAGTAAAGAAAAGAAAACAAATTCTGATGTTCCTGGAATTTTTTTTCCCCCAAACAACTGAGTAGTGGTTCAGTTTTGAGTATAAGCTACTGGCTGTTGGTTTTGAAAGAGTATCTTTTTGATTGAATTTTGCTAGTAGGGCATGGTGGCACACACTTATAATCCCCAGCATTTGGGAGACTGAAGCAGAAAGATCACATCAAGTTTAAGGCCAGCCTCAACTACCTAGTGAGACCCTACCTCAAAAAAAGAGAGGGTTTTTCTGTCATAATAAAATTCTAGAAAGTCTTTCTGTAATTTTGGCATGGAACTCTGATAAAGGCAGCCTGGCGAGTCCCCAGGCTGTTCTGCTGGCCTTCCTCTTCCTATGAGGGGTCAAGGTTCTATTAAGACATTCTAAGAGGCCTTTGTGTTTTCCTTTTATCTGACTTCAGTTAACCTTTTAAGCATAGCATCATTTTAGAAGCCTTAAAAAAGTCTTAAAATACACCCACAAAATTATTTTCTGAAAATAGTTTAACTCAAGAAGTGCAATAGGCTGTTTTTGCTGGCATCAATTGTTGACTCCTCTCTCTCTAGAGCTCTCTCTAAAAGAGCTTTTCTTGTCTGTTCTTTTCTTCAAAACAGTCAATCTTTTGTTGCATCGAATGTGAAATGTAAGCTCCCTAGTCCAATGTGTAAGTGCCTGGATTATGTTGATTCAAAAGAAGTCAACACATTCCAATTTCTCGATTGGAGAACAGAGCAGGACCACTAGGTAAGATTTGTTGAGATAGCTCAGTGGACTAAGCACCTGCTTAGGCAAGAGCAGGGACTGGGGTTCAATCCCCAGTGCACCAGTCCTGCACCCAGATGCACTGAGCCAGCGACCGAGTCTGGGTGTGGTGGTACAACCCTGTAATTCCACACTGGGGAGGTTGAAAACAGGAGGATCACAGCAAGTCTGAGCTGTGTAGTGATAACCTGTACCAAATATATTTTTTTAAAAAAGAAAGGAAGGAAGGGAGAAGAAAGAAAGAAAGAAAGAAAGAAAGAAAGAAAGAAAGAAAGAAAGAAGGAGGGAAAGAAAGAATGAAAGAGAAAGAAAGAAAGAGAA